GTACACTTTGGAGCGAGGTGAGTCTCTTTTCTAACCTTGTAAGAGGGAATTATCCCTATAGGTGAGTTAATTTATCATGTGTTGCTAATTGTGGGGGCTACATACGCACGAGGTGACGAGAGTCCGTGCGTAGCTACTATTATGTTAATTGTCCTAATAGTTTAGGACCCGTATCATGCTATATTTGCAAATGTCTATATTCTTTCATGTTAATGAGATCACTTAGGACTTGTTAAGAGTTGGAAATAAATGTATGAGAACGCATGCACTCACTTGATAACTTCTATGAATTTATTTGGCTATTATTGTGCCTTATGTTCCCTCTTGATGATAATTGATATTTGTGGATCGGGTCGATCGCCTCGGTAGAAATAGATGCATCTATGGTTCGCGCCATTCGATCCTCTGGCAGTGCACATTTCCTTTTATGTTGGACCGGGCTGTACGACCTCGGCATAATGTGTGCATGATATCTATGTGAATTCTTATTCATGACTTGCCTTGCTAAATGCCCTGATATGTAAATGGCTAACTGTAATAATATCTAGGAAATGGACTATCACTTCTTGCTATAAATTGTTATTTATTTGTGACGTCCATGCTTAGGATAACACTTTCTTATATTAATTGACCCTAGTTAGTGTCAAGTCGACCTCTCGTCTCTACTTCTTCAAGATTAGACGGGATACGTACTGGGTACATATTGTTTATGTACTCATATTATGCTTCTGTACTTAATTGTATAGGATCTGAAGCAGGTACATCTAGTTACCAATCTGGTGCGCATACTTGATCGTAGTCCGAGATTCTACGGTGAGCTGCTCCATTCCTATGTCGTTCAACAACATGATGGAGTCTCTCTTTACTTTTGGCTGTCTATTCTATCTCGGACAGTAGGATAGATTTATTCTTTTGTATATTCTACTAGATGCCCATATACTTGTGACACTAGATCTTGGCACACACATTAGTAGACTATTCTTTTGGGATTGTATGATTATTAATGTACGTAGCTAATTACCACCTATTTTAAATTCAAAATTTAGAAATTGTTGTAACTGTTTTGGTAAAGTAAAACTAGAACTTGTTAATATTTCCGCGTTGGCTTGCCTGACAACGGCGTTGGGCGCCATCACGACCTGTGGTGAAATTGGGTCGTGACACATAATGAGTTGATGCTTCACATAAACATAAATTTATTGTATGTTTAGTTGGTGCTTCGGGTGTTGGGCCCGTGCAATGCAGGGACAGTCTCTTACTAGTTTTTCTAATATTTAGGACTTTGAAATTGACTAAGATTCTGGTTATTAAATCTTTACTTAATTGAACTAAGTAACAAGTCCTGAAATTTAGGACTTTAAACTCAAATAAGATTTACCTTATATAATTTATTTCCTTATTTGAACTATACAACATAATTATATTTCCTCTCATATTACTTTTGCTAATATTTAGAATTTTGAAAAAGTGCACGATGAGTTTGTTTGATCATTTAACAATGAATTATCATTTTATATGGCATATCTAACAAAATAAAATGGCATATCTACAAAATAATTAAATCATATTTTTACTGTATATATATTTTAAAAACATGTGTTAGAAGTTAGTAGTATTATGTTATGAATATTGGTGTTATTAAATTGTCCACGAAGTATATGCCTAAGTATGATTGAATACTATATAGAACCACACCTTTCATAGCAAATTTGAAAATATTTAACTCATAGAAAATGCATATCTCAAGAGATTTAGACTCAACCTTCACCTAATTAGTCAATCGATAAATATTTAATACCCGTCTTATACATGGGTATGACAAGATTTTATATTTAAAGATTTTTAATAAAATCTTGTCCTACCCATGTATAAGGCGGATATTAAAAGGCGGATATTAAATATTTATAGATTGGCTAATTATATGAAGGTTGAGTCTAAATCTCGTGAGCTATGCATTTTTCATAAGTGAAATAGTTTTAAATTTGCTATGAAAGTTATGGTTATATATAGTATTCAATCATATTACCTATATTCTTAGGCATGTACTTCGTGGACAATTTAATAACACTAACGTTCATAATATAATACTACTAACTTCTAGCAAATATTAATATATATATATGTATACAGTAAAAATATAATGTAATTATTTTTTGTACGATCAAATATATTTAAATATCCTTGGTTTATTTATTTTCGTGGTGGGTATTTAATCCAAAAAATAATTTTTAAGGTCAAAGCAATTAATTTTATATGACGGGCTACAAGCAATCGATTCGATCCGAAAGATATAAATTTTCATTGATACAACGTGATAGAGAAGTGAAAAATAAATTCAATGACAGATAATATAATAAAAATAAAGCAGAGAAGAAATAATTCTTATTGGATGATCCGTGATAGGATGATTAGGGGCGGATGTATAGCCGAAATTACAGGGCACGTGAACCCATGGTCCCTCCATCAAACTAAGTATTTTATGTATATATTTTCTAGAATTGGTTGAATATTGTGTATTGGCACCATACTCCATAAAAGTTAAATGGTGTACTTGGTTCAATACTTAATTATTTACTCAAAGAAACAAGGATCAACTCTCACTTAACACGTTTTCTCCTTCTTTCTTTAGTGGTGAACCCATCTTCTTGAAATCCTAGATCCGGCTCTGAGGATGATGAGCCAAACAGAGCTTGAAGAGCCGAGCTATGGCTGACATGGGAGTAAGATGCTATGAATTACAATGTATAGAACTGTAGAGAAGAAAAATTAGATGATTACAATGGGGGTCAAATGTCTCTATTTATAGAACTAGATCTAGGTAACCATTCTCCCTTGATTTATGGGTCCATTATAAACATTTACTTAATCCACGCGTTACTTTTGGAAGACTTGTAATAGCTAAGCAAATGCTGAAATTTCGTAACTGATGATCAATCTAGTACCTGTTGAGTCAATCCCGTACCTATTGAGTCAATCTCGTACATGTTGTGTCAATCTCCTGCTTGTTGAGTCAATACCGTACCTGTTGAGTCAATCTCGTACATGTTAAGTCAATCTCGTGTTTGTTGAGTGAATCTCGTACATGTTGAGTCAATCTCGTGCTTGTTGAGTCAATTTCGTAATTAATTGCCTTGTTCTGCCTGTTACAACCATTTATTTTATTTATTGTACGTTACATAATTGATTTGTAACTGATAGTGTAAAGATGGAAAATCTCATATAATGCGGGATTAATTGATTCTTTCCTCATTTGTAATTATGAGTTATTCTCCCGTACCTGATCCATGATTATTCTATGATGATCAGTTTCGAGACTAACAGACATGGTACGAGTATGTTCTGTCCCGAGAGTGTTTTACATATCGTCTTTACACGTCATTCTTCACTTTTCTCATAACTTTGCTAACATGTGTTGCCATTTAATAGACCCGCGTGGTGAATCTATTTTTCACTAATATTTAAAACCTTTTTGGAGCTTTTTGTACTAAATTATATCTAAGTTCAAAAAATTTGAAGCTCCTCATTACGCAAGAAAAGAAAATATACAAAAATATTATTTTCCCCAAACTTGAACCTTTTTTTAATTAGGAAACATGAACTTGAATATCTGCAAACACACACGGCCGCTGGCTAATTCAAACTATATGCCATATAAAATAATTCATTGTTAAATGGTCAAACAAACTCATTGTGTACTTTTTCAAAATTCTAAACATTAGCAAAAGTAATTTGAAAAGAAAATATAATTATGTTGTATAGTTCAAATAAGGAAATAAATTATATAACGTAAATCTTATTTGAATCAAAGCCCTTAATTTTAATACTTTTTACTCAATTCAAATAAGGAATAATTTAATAGCCAGAATCTTAGTCGATTTCAAAGTCCTAAATATTAAAAAAAAATTAAATTACAATTTTATTCAATGTGAAATATGCATTTGAAGGATAAAAAAGACGAACGATCTTTCTTTAAGGTCTTCGCTCTTTTAATATTGTATAAATATAGATAAATATATTATCACATAGTTATCATCACACATCTTAATTGGGCACGATGTATGCTTGAACATTTACGTGGACCCACTTTTCATTCCATTTATGAGAATTTGATGATCTATAAACCATCCCTAACGAGCGATTGACTCATGTTTGAGCATGATGAATCACTTCGTGCCGAGCCCTATGCGTCTTTATTTCCTTCTTCTTGTTGCTCCACGTCATTTGATTTGCATGGTTACCTTCTGTTTGTGGCGCCGCTGATGAAGCCACATCCGAAAAGTTTTAATCGGCAGAGGCACAGGCGTATAACTAGTATTAAACCTTGTAATAGAATATGTGTGTGCGCCCCTGCAGAATATTTGCAATATTTCCACAACCTCCTTGAGATATGCATTTTCCGGTATGAAATTTACTTATATAATTTTATACACTAATTATATGAAAATTATTTATATAATGAGGTCAGTGCTTACAAAGTAATTATAATCATTGATTATCCGGTAAATTGGCAACAAACGTGCTAACACATATTTGAATTCACTAATATATCAAAGTATCTTTACATTTTAAAATAATAAATCTTAAATCCACTTACAGTAGTAGCTAGCTGAGAAATGGTGATCACTAAAAGGTTATAATTAGGGCGGTCCGACCCAGTGCATGTTTCACGAGATATGGTGATCAAATGGATTGAAATTCTTATTTGCCCAGCAGTCGTTTTCAACAGTTTCATCGTTTGGTTTATTATGTAACATACCTAATATGAATAATAAAAAAATGATAATGACTTGTACACCAAAACAAAGAAAGATGATAGAGGACACGGCAATTAGTTTTACTAGTTACTAGCTACTACTTGAGTAGTATAAATTTCAGGCTAAAGAAACCAAAATTTCCCACCCACATTTCTTCGCCATTATAATTTTGCAAGACTTAATAACTCTTCAGCTTCCTCCCATCATCACCCCACTTTGGTGTATATATATATATACCTTCTCACTTTTTCTTAATTCGCCTTCTTTCTTTTTGTCTTTTATATATAGCTTATATTAGAGTTTAAATTGTGTACATCGATGAATTTTACATCATCAAGTCATTTTTACATGTTGTAGCATATTAGCTTATTTTATTTTTAAGATTACAAATTTCACATTTTAAGCTTACCTATAGATATTCTTTAGTCGACATTACATTGAGAAAATATAGTCTCATTGAAATTCTAGGCGACTAGACTTTACAACCTATTTCTTCCGCGTATAATCAGTTTTATGCAAAAATTTAAATACTTACATAATTATATTGTTGGTGCATATAATCTATTTAGATGATTTTAATGTCTTTTTATCTACAAGTAAATCTTGTTAACAATGCATTGCTAGCATACATGACTCTCTTATCATTAATTCACCTTTTACTTTGTTATTATCATTAATCTCCGAAATTAAGATAGATGTTGTCTCGATTACACGTGAAGAACCTAGAGAATGAAAACGATAGAAAAAGGAAGCGATTTTCTTCTTAAATGAACTCTTCAATTCTTTCGTCATGTGCATGTGGTAGCTCTAAATAAACTTCAAAATCAACCAAATTAAATGGACATGTCAATGGCGTAAATTAAAGTTCTTGCCAAACGAGTAATAGGGCCATCTTTTAGCCTTTTAATTTTATGTGAATAGGTTCTTTGAATTATTGTATGAAAAATTAATGAATCTATAAAATTAGACAACCTCGTACATGTGATGACTACCACACAATTTGTATCATATAAGACTGTCTTATTCACAACGTCTTTCTTGGCTTGTAACTTTCTACTTGCTGAACATGTACACCTTATGGATTATCATAGTTCCTCTTTTGCCATTTCTGAAATCTATACCGACCTCTTATTTTGTTTTTGGACGTATTTTAGATAGGCCACTCACCAATTGTTTTAATGTCTATCTCTACCTTTTGATTTCACCATATACAGTAGAGAGAGAAGACATGGCAAAAGGAAGTTACGAGAAGGCCATTGTTTCACTCCAGAACCTCCTCAGGTTTGGACCATCGTATGTAAAACATTAACTGATATATGCTTTAAAAAGGAATCGTAAGATACTTTTGTTTTTAAATATTGAGAAGAAAAAAAAAACCAAAGTTGTTCCTTTTAACCCAAGTACTTGTTCAAAGTTGTGTTTTAAAACTTCTTCAACAAAAATATTTTTAAATATCTAGCTAGCTGCTTAAACAGTTTTTCATAAAAGTTATTGAATTTTTTTTTTATATTTAAATGATTATTCTTAGAAAAGATAATAAATATATTTACGTAGTTGAACTATGTTGTAACATATATTTTTATATAAATTTTGTATTCATTATAGAGTAATAATTTCGGAAAAATGCATAAGTACCCCCTCACTTATACCCCGATTTCCAACTACATATTTTTTCTTTCACTAAATATCCTGCGATTGTTTTTCCGGCGACAGATTTTTATCCCGATCTAAGTGTGTTTTCTTTTATATATATATAATTTTTTCTTGAAAGTGTAATTTATGTGTGGGAGGAAGAGCAAAAGAAATAAAATCGAATATAAGATGAGAAAACTTTTTTCAGTTAAAATTTCAATACATCATTTTTTCCGGCGTGGGAAGGTTTTCCGATGATGAATTTTTTCCCTCAAATCTGAGTGTATTTTGCTTTGCTTATGAATAGATCTTTTTGAGAGTTTAATTGTGTGTGAAAAGAAAAAATGAAAGAAAAACGGTTAGACAAAGTCGCCGGTGAACGAATATCCGCCGGAATTAGAGAAGAAACGAAAAAAAAGTAAAAGAAAAAGGAAAAGGAAAAAAAAGAAAAAATGGTAAAAAAGAATAAAAAATAATCTAAAAATTATTTTTTTCTCGCTTCTTACTCTCCTTTGGAAGAGTGAAATACACACACTCTGTCACGTCAGCGTTAATGGTGCAAATAATTTCATATAAAATAAGTTTAAGGGGGTAATAGAATTCCTGCAAAGAAAAAAATGTGTAGTTGAAAATCCGGGTATAGGTCAGGAGGGTACTTATGCATTTTCCCAATAATTTCTAAAGGTGTAATAAATGCAGTGTGGTACATAATAACACTTGCTTAAGAATATACATTTTTTTGCTTAAGTAGCAATTTAATAAACCAATAGCATTAATTATGGGTGTTGGATTTGGAAATCGTGCAATTGAAGTGAGAAGGAAGAACTGAAACCGGTTGTAGCAGAAAGAATTGATGAAATCACAACTGAGTTACAAACGACAGGCTGCAATTCCTTCGACCCTGTTCAAAGGATCAAGACGGGCTTTTATTATTTCAAAACAGAGATATATGAGTAAAGCCCCTACGTTTCCTTCTTTTTCTTTTCCCTAACATGTTAAAAGTGTGTTATTAATTTTCATATAATGATAATTAAACAAAACAATCTTGAAATGACAACACCTAATAAACTATTTCTTACATGTATCAGCAAAAATCCAGAATTGTTTGAGAAACTCAAGAAAGGACAGGAACCCAAGGTAAAAGATCTTATTACATTTGTTATTGTTTATGCCTTAGGGGTATTGGAATAAAATGGCCCAAAGATACTCTTAACATAGTGTAATATTATCTGCTTTGGACCAAACCTACATGGTTTTCCTCAAAATGCCTCATACCATTAAGAGTATCCAACTCTTTATAAGTAGAAACTTTTTCTTTTTCTACTTTCAATGTGGGACTTTGTTCACACATACTTGATTATCTATATCACACTTTTTGGGTACGGACTTTCTACGGACCCTGCGTAAATGAGGGATGCCTTGTGTACCCGAATGCCTTTAAGTATCTTTGCATTTTGTTGGTCGGTGAAATATAACTAGCTAGTCACACAATGTACAAGTTGTGACTTCTCAGGCACTGAATTAGCTCGACCAGTTGGAAGATTTCTTTTTTTTTTTTACTTTGTAATTTAATTTTCCATAGCTAAAAAATCATGTATCCAACCATGTAACAGTTTCTTGTGTTTGCCTGCTCCGATTCACGAGTGAGCCCATCTCATGTGCTGAATTTTCAGCTCGGTGAAGCTTTTATGCTTCGAAACATCGCCAACATGGTCCCTCCTTATGACAAGGTCATTTATCAATTAATTTCTATGCATTAGCTCCTTCTTTCTATTCTGTAGTAATATTATTAATTTACTTTACTTCTGTGTTGGATTTGGATTGCAACAGACTAAATACTCGGGAGTAGGAGCTGTAATCGAATACGCAGTTGTTCATCTTAAGGTAGAAAACATTTTAGTCATTGGCCATAGTGCATGTGGAGGTATTAAGGCTCTTATGGAACTCCCAGAAGATGGTTCTGAATCAACGTATGTATCGTTAAGTAAACCATTTAAGTTATACATATTAACAGTATAATGAATAAGAAAAAAATGTTTAACTTACCAATTAATTATGTTATATTACTAATTTGAAGATGTGATGATGCAGTGACTTTATAGAGGATTGGGTGAAAATTGGATTGCCTGCCAAAGCAAAAGTACTAGCTGAACACGGGGATAAAACTTTTAAAGAGCAAGTCAAATATTGTGAGAAGGTAAAATAGTGTTCTCACACTAATTGTCTTTTTTACTTTTTTTTCTATAAATATCAACTAAAAGTTTATAAATAATAATGGGAATGGATAAACTGCAGGAAGCTGTGAATGTATCACTAGCCAATTTGCTTACGTACCCATTTGTGAGCGATGCTTTGGTGAATAAGACTTTGGCATTGAAGGGAGGTTACTATGATTTCATGAAAGGAAGATTTGAGCTCTGGGGACTCAACTTCGGTCTTTCTGATCCTTGTTATATATAAACTCAATACACCATATTCGGGCGGGAGAAGATACCTCTTGTTCTTGCTTTTTCTTGTTGTATTCGTCATTTATGAGTGCTAGTTTGAATTTCTGAATAAATAAAAGAGAGAGTGGACAAAGATTCTCCATCTTATGGTTTAAGAGAATAGTTGTGATTTTTATTTGTGATAATAACTCTGCTCTGCATAGAAAAATAATGTATGATGATAACTTTGCTCTACTAGTTCTGAAAGTGTGGTCACAATAATTTCTGTTTTGTCTTGGGATATGGCAATTTTCGTAGAAATGACACCAGGTAGCCACTTTACAGGGTTGTATTTAAAAATTAGCCAGTGCGTTCTGGATTTTAGTTTTTCAGTTCAAATATTCAAGACAAAAATATTCTGAATTATTCCGAGTTAAAATTTTTAGTTTAAAATTTCAGGACAAAATAAGTACTGGCTATCTTTAAATAGTATCCCTGAGAAGGGCTATCTGTGCATTTGCTCGCAATTGTCTTGTACTCACCAAGCAATGAAAGGCTCGCAAATCATAAACATGCTTTTATTGTCAAAATATTTTAATATACACTAATCATGTAAAATAATTTTTACGTTATTTGTGTTGTTTAATAGAAGGGAAAATGGCCAAAAATAATTCTCAACTATTCAAAATGTGACTACTATTATAAATAAAATTTTATTTATGGTGAATGTCTATATTTTAGAGAGATCTAAGGGTTTATTACTTGGTATCTAAGTCACCCTCTTCCTATAAATAGAGGGTTCTATTCCATTGTAATTCATCTCAAAGCAATAAGAATTCTTTCTCTCTTTCTTTGCAATATTCTTCTTTATTGTTTTATTTCACGTTATTAGCACGCGACTCTACCGTCTCAAGAAGCTCTTTGAGAAGACTAAGGTAAAACTTTTCTCCTCTTTTAATTATGACCGATATTATGAAAAGAAAGTTCGTTGCCCTTGAAATTTCGGGCATGAACTATATGACATGGGTGTTGGATGCTGAAATACATTTAGATGCAATGGGTCTTGGAGACGCCATTAAAGACAAAAATAAAGTATCCACCCAAGACTGTGCTAAGACCTTGATTTTCTTGCGCCATCACCTTGATGAAGGGTTGAAAATAGAATATCTCACAGTCAAAGATCCACTTATTTTGTGAAATAGAGTAAAGGAAAGATATGACAACTTAAAGTTGGTCACTCTTCCACAAGCAAAATATGATTGGGCTCATCTGAGGCTCCAAGACTTTAAGTCTATTTCTGAATATAATTATACTGTGTTCAGAATTGCTTCTAAATTGAAACTCTGTGGAGATATTATCACTAACTATGATATGTTTGAAAAAATATTTACAACGTTTCATGCCTCCAATATGGTCTTGCAACAGCAGTATAGAGAGAAAGGTTTCAAGAAGTACTCTGAGTTGATTTCTCTTTTCCTTGTGGCTGAACAAAATAATGACTTGCTCATGAGAAATCACGAAAATCGACCCACTGGGTCTACACCATTTCCTGAAGTGGATAAGGTGTAATCTCATTATGCTAAGTGTGGAAAAGGTCGTGGCCCTATTCATGGTCGTGGTCGTGGTCGTGGCCGTAGACGAGGAAGAAATTTTTCTGGTGTTAATCACTCCCCAAAGAAAAGTAACCACCAAAAGTGGAAAGGGAAAGATGAGAAGCCAAAGACGAATGGTTTAGAAACTTAATGTTATCGTTGCGGTAGAAAAGGGCATTGGGAAAATATTTGTCGTGCACCAAAAAATTTGGTTGAGCTTTATCAAGCATCTCTAAAGAATAAAGGCCCTGAAGCTAATCTTGTCTATGAAAATAAATTTGACATCGCCCACTTGGATGTGGCAGACTTCTTGTAACGACCCGGCCGGTCGTTTCATGAGTCACAGTTCCGTTCTCCCTATTTCTTCTTCCTTATGTGTTGGTCAGCTATATTTTATCTTATTGTGTTGGTTGTTCTGTGTTAGGGGTGGTCTTGGAGTGAAATGAGACACTTACTCTCTTATTTGGAAGCTTTAGTTGGAAAAGTCAATCAAAAGTTGACTTGTGAGTAAATGATCTCGAAATTTGGTTTTCATGGTTTGGATAGCTTCGTTAGGCGATTTGGGACTTAGGAGCATGTTCGGAATGTAATTTGGAGGTCCGTGGTAGATTTAGGCTTGAATTGGCGAAATTGAAATTTGGCATTTTTTGATCGACAGTGAAAATCTTGATATCGGGTTATAATAGAATCTTGGAAATTTGAGTAGGTCCGTTGTGTCATTTGAAACGTGTGTGCAAAATTTTAGGTCATTCGGATGAAGTTTGATAGGTTTTTGGATCGATTGCAAAATTCGGAAGTGTGTAAATCTTTAGGATTGAATCCGAGGGTGATTTAGTGTTCCAATGTTATTTTGAGTGTTCCGAGGATTAGTATGACTTTGACTGATGATATGGACTTGTTCGTATTTTTTTTTGAGGTCTCGGGGGCCTCGGGATGATTTCAGAAGATTGTCGAAAAGATTGGAATTGAGATTTAGCAGCTTCAGCTGTTGTTCCTGTCATAACCGCACTTGCGGATTGGGGATCGTAGGTGCAGGCCCGCAGAAGCGAAGAAAGGGCTGCAGATGCGTCCAAGGTTGAGAAGGGCAGGAACCCCAGAAGCGGCTTTGGGTGGATAAGTGATTTCTGCAGGTGTGACCTGTTGGATAGCAGGTGCGGTCGCGCAGGTGCGAGTTTGGGGCCGCAGGTGCGGGAATGCCTAGGCAGAAACTATATAAGCATTCCTTCGCGAATTTTTGCCCATTTCCACCATTTTTTAGACGGGATTGGAGACTTTGGAGGGTGTTGAAGAGTAAATCAAGGGGATTCTTCTTGAGGTAAGATTTCTAAACTTAATACTTGTATATATGGTGAATTTCAATTGATTAGACATGAAAATTTGAGAAATTATGGCTTGAAATTAGAGGGTTAAATTGAGGATTTGAAAGGGCCATTTGAGGTCCGATTTTTATGTTTTTGGTATGTATAAACTCGTGAGAGGATAAGGATTCTAGTGTTGTGATTTTTATCGGAATCCGAGACGTGGGCCCGGGGGTCAGTTTGACCAATTTCGGGATTTTGAGTTTAGTGTGATAATTTTCGCGTGGGCTTTATCCCTTTGGCTTGTATTGATGTTATGATTCTGATTTTGGATAGATTGGGACGATTTGAGTCCAAGTCGAGAGGCAAGGGCATCGCAAAATAGATTTTCGTCCGATTTGAGGTAAGTAACGATTGTAAATCTAGACCTGAGGGTATGAAACCCCGAAATTTTGTATTGTTTTGATAAGTGAGGTGACACACATGCTAGGTGACGGGCGTGTGGGCCTGCACCCGTAGGAATTGTGACTTGGTCCGTCCCGTGGCAACTGTAGAGTTGCATGTTTTGATAAACTTTATATGATATCCATGTGTTTTAGAAATAAATCTGTTAACTTGGGCTGAATGCCATGTTAGGGGCCTTGTGCCGAACTATTTGGACCCTTAGAAGGTATTTTACTAATTTCCTCACACTGTCTTGATTTAAAAGCATATCCTCAGTCATGATTTTTACCTGTTTATTGTTTGATTCAGTTTCATTACTCTACTTTAAATATATGAAAATTGTTTGGGATGAGTTCCCTTATTTTTACTGAAATGCCCAAGTGGCTATGAGGTTAATGACTGGGAGAGAGGTCGAGGACTTGATGGCGAGGATTATATATATTTATGGATTGGGCTGCACGCCGCAGCGATATTTATATATATGGATTGGGTTGCATGCCGCAGCGATATGTTGGATCGGGCTACGCACCGCAGCGATATAATGCTTGGGTTGTAGGAGCCCCTCCGGAGTCTGTACACCCCCAGTGAGCGTATTCGACTATATATATTTACGGATCGGGTTGCACGCTACAACGGTTATTATTATGAGATATCTATTGAGCGCGAGAGCTGAGTGTGAGTACTGATTTACGAAAGCTGAGTCACGAGTGACTGAGATGCTTTTCCGGGGGCTATACTTATGAGTGATACTTTGCCCGAGGGGCTTATTTATGAGATTTCTATTTTTACTCTTCTTCTATACTAAGCCTCTATTGAAAAATGTTGAACAAATACTTTAAAGGATTTTCATTGAAACTGGAGTTTTTACGAGATATTTGGTTACTGCACTACAGATTTTGACTTTGATATTTCTGTTGAGATTTTTGATAAAGTATGTATATGATTTTAAATGCTCGTCACTGCACTCAGCTTTTATTTACTTTGGTTACTTACTGAGTTGGCTTACTCACGTTACTCCCTGCACCTTGTGTGCAGATCCAGGTGCCAGAGCCTCTGAGTGAGAGCTATTCGTTGCCTTCAGAGTACTATCCGGAGATTGTAAGGTAGCTGCACGGCGTTCGCAGCCCTTCCTTTCTCCTTCCTATCCTTAGTATTTTATATTTCAGACTTATCTTGTATTAAGCAGACAGTGTTGAGTTGTATTTAGTGGCTCATGACCAGTGACACCAGGATCGGGCTGGGTTGATGTACTTACGTATTTGTCTTTTTTCGCATATTTGACATAGATTAAAATGAAAGATTTGAGATTATATCTTATTAGAAAAATGAATTTACAAAAGACCTTTATATTGTTCGTGTTGTTTCGGCTGGCCTAGTACTGCGATAGGCGCCATCACGACTGGGGTGTTTGGGGTCGTGACACTTCTTTGAGCACCATGATGGGAAAATAGACCACTTGATTGGTGATGGATTTGTGGTTAAAGATGATTGAGTAGTTTGATTTTTATTTTTGCTTATTCGTAGTATCTAGTAAATAAATATCATGTAATCACAATTTTTTATATAAATAGTAGTCATTGTAATGAAAATTCATCATAAGTGTAACAATATTTTTCTTTAGCAGTGCACACACATCAGGCAAACAATACAATCTTAGTGTCATGACCCGGATTTTCCATCCTCGGGAGTCGTGATGGAGCCTACTAGTGAAAGCTTGGCAAGCCAACCATTTAAATTATTTACCTTTTTCCATTTTAATCCTTTAACAATTATGAACCAACCTTATATAAACAGCGAAATTTAATAAGCGGAAGAACAAATATAACCAATTAAATATTACCAATACAATTCCTTAAACATAGACTACCTAGAACTGGTATCATAATTTTACATACGGTCTAGGAATACTACAAATAAGGGTCCAAAAAATAGATACAATGTTTTCTCA